GCTCTCTGGTTCGAGCTATTAGGAATTTACATCAGCGAAATTGGGAAATGAAAGCTCTCTGGGTCCCAAGAGGAGCTAATAAGATTGCTGACGCGATTATCAAATTGGCTCCCTCGTACAATATTGTTGTTCACGTTTTGGATACTCGGCCTTTACATGTTAATAACCTTATAACCTTATTATAAGTGATTGTGATTAGGGTTGTAAACGACTCAAGTCGAACTCGAATATTGCTAAGCTTGACTCATCTCGAAAACTCTAAAATGAAGCTCGACTCGAAAACTCGTGAGCCTAAATTTTTTAAGCTCGACTCAAACTCAAAATCATGAATTGAAGCTCGTAAAAGCTCGAAATGGAAAAAAAATCTTAAACTTAACTCAATTGAAGCCTCAAACTAGAACTCAAATATGAATCTTAAATACATGAAAGCCTTATATTACATTTTTTAAAAACATCAACACATAAATGTTAATGTTATTAATAATTTATTTTTAAAAAATAATATCTTAAAATCTTATATTTTTGAGCCGCTCACGAGTTTTTCGAGTCGAGTATCAAGTAGCTTGTTTTGGCTTGTTAAGAACTTAGGCTCAAGTTGAGTCCATTCGAATCGAGTATTTATCGAATTTTGACTGAGTCGATTTTGAGTAGCTCATAATTTGTCTCTTCTCATTTACAACCCTGATTATGATAGCTCCTCTATGATGTAATTGTGATTCTATTTATATTTAAAATAATAATAATGATTTTGGTTTTTTAAAATTCAATTCAATTTAAAATAAATATTTTTCATATGAAAAATCAAAATCGAATTGAATTATAAAATTATATGTTTAAATTGAAATTGAACCAAAATCAAACTATTTAAATTGAATCACATAATAAAGTTCAATTTAAATTCTTAATTTTTTCGATCTTGTTGTTCGGTCCTATACAATTTAATTGAAAGATTTGGAAATTTAAATATCTGGCATCTCTCATTTAAATCAATTTGAAAATTATTCATATGGTAAATAAAACGCTTAATTTATTAAAAATATAATATAATTTCATTTTCTGTGCGTTACTAAACAAAAAGAATATTGTAGGAGTAATTGATTTCTTTAATTTAATTCCATTTTAGATATCCAAATAAAGAAATATAATATTTTTTTCTCTTTTAGTATTGAAATAGTCCAATAGAGTATTAAAAATGACCGATGGCTCGACAAGCATCACATTTCGACCCTCCCCCAACTGTGTGACTCGTGACCACACACCCCTCAAATTATGACCAAAATGTCGTCTTCTTCCCTCGAAAATCTAAAAAAAAAAAAAACACACACACACACAAATTTCAGACATATCAATGAGTTTTGGAATTGAAACAACCGTGGCTTCATCCCTGTAAACACAGCCTTGGAACCTGAATATTTGGATTCTACAGTCTCAAGACTCAGAAAAAAGAGAAAATCCCCAGTAGTACTACTTTTCTTTACCCTTACTCATTCCCGGAGCCCTTGTTACCACCATTTTAGGACCCCCGAAACCTCGCAAGCATCAAACAAATGAAGGCTGCAGGTAAATCTTTCCTTTCATTTGTTTCAGATGATGCTTATGTTGTTCAGTGGGTTGAAAGCAATACTGGGTTTTTGTCCATACCGATTCTTGTTTCCTTTTGTGGTGTTAGTTTATGGATGAAGTTTCTTTCTCCTCGTTGGTAATATTTATGACAGTCTTTTAAGGTTTTTACCAGGTTCTTGATCAGGTTTGTTGTGTTTTCTTTTACTAGGATTTACTTCTTTCTTGGTGGATGCAAGTATGGCAGAGTAGATAAGAATCAGATCATATAATCATGCGGTGTTTCTTTTCATTTCACTTCTATCTTATATATTTACAGTTCTTTATTACAATGGACCAAAACACAAATCTTTGCCTGGTTGTTGGGAGATTCAAACCATTTAATTCTGTCTTTATTTCTAGCTTTGATTCAGTTTCTGCTGGGTGGTTTAAGTTTATATGTATATATGGAGATATATTGCAGTGAGTCTAGGTTCTTCAAATGACCAGTTTTAGCATATTCTCAGGTATTTGCTATGCCATGTTTTGAGTTTCTGAGTTATACTTGGGAACAAAGCTGTTGAATTTCTTGATTGTGAAACGTAATGGAGGAGAGGAAATTGAATTTTGATGCTCCGCTTTTATCTGTGAGGCGGTTTTCGGGGACATATTCTGCTCGAGATCGAAATAAGCAGAAGAAGGTTGAGAATCCTCCTTCGACGGCACGATTTGCTCTCCCCTGGTATTGCTCGGATGCATGTTTAGATCAGGTAACGGAGCCTGTTGCGGTTCCTTTCGTATGGGAGCAGATCCCCGGGAAAGCAAAAGGTGGTGTGCAGCATGAGTTTGAGCCAGATAAGGAAGCTTTGTGTACTCCAAGGCTTCCGCCAGGTCGGATTTCGAAGGTCGTGAAGTGTCATGTGGAGAAAGAGTGTGTAATTCAGGTTGTGATCAGGCCCCAAACTGATACGTATCCTGTGAATGATAAATTGAGTAGATTAGACTGTTTGAATGAGGAAATGAATGAGAAATGCGTCTCGAATCTGATAACGATGATGATGTTTATTCGGATGCCCTCGATACCTTGTCCCCAACTGATTCCTTCTCCATGAATTGTAGTATAAGTGGTCTGAGTGGATCGGATGGACCAGCAGCAAAACCATCAGGAACGTTCTCTACAGATCCACAAACTCAGGATTTCATGCTGCAGCGCTTTTTACCTGCAGCCATGGCAATGACACTTGAGACACCGAAGTATGCTTCAAGGAAACAATCCGTTGCACCAGAACAACCTAGAGAGGCTAAGAAAGTGCTTGTTGGGGATAGGAGATCTCCTGTCAATCAATATGAGTCGGCTATTGTTCCATATTATAACCGGGATGTAGATGAGGAAGAATCAGAAGACGAATACGATGATGACTATCAGGATTCTGGCAATTTATCAAGAAAAGCTTGCGGCTTGTTGCATCGGTTATGCTTCAAGAGTTCTCTGGGCCTCTTAAATCCCGTTCCAGGGCTAAAACTTAGAACCCACTCTTCAATGCCTTCTACTCATGAAACTGTGAAACCACGAAAAGCTACTTACTCAAAGTCTCGAACACAAATTGTTGAGAAGGTTAGTATGGATCTTTTCTGTTTCCTTCAAATCACTGTTCGGCGATCTATCCATAACTGTTAGATACTCTAATACATTGCTTGAACATTTACTAGTATTTTGTATCTTTGCAGAATGCTTCGGATGCTGTTCGTAAGAACAAATCAGATCGAGGAGTTCAATCCTCCGAGCTGCCAGGGAACAAATCAGATAGTGCAGTTCAACCACCGAGGCTCTCGAAGGCAAAATCATATAGGGGAGTTATATTCTCCGGGGCCCTGGTGAACATGTCAGAAAGTGCATTTCAATCACCAAGGCTCTTGAAGGACAAACAAGATAGGGGAGTTCAATCCCCAAGGCTCCTAGTGAGCAAATCAGATAGTGCATTTCATTCACTGAGGCTCTCGAAGGACAAACCGGATACTGAATTTCAACCTCCTAGGCTTCCGGAAATCAGGAAAGAACTGATATGTGTATTGAATCAGTTTAGCAGCTCAAATGACGAGCAGATGGCGAATAGGTCGCCTCCCAAGAGGCTTCCAGGTAGTGGTCGCATTTCTCTGTATCGTAGAGAGAGGCCTCAATCACCCTTCCGCGGAGGAGGGTTCCTTGGCTTGCCTAAAGAAGCTGAGAAATACAAAGCGAATATGATGGTTAAGTACACCCGAAGCAATAACAACTCGCAGGAATTAATGCCGTACCGGAGAACCATTCAAGGCTGGGGTTATCCTAGCCCTGCAGTTGAGAAAACATTGTATGTAGATACTGTAAATTCCTTAGATACCAAAGTGTTGGAAGAACCTGTTGCTGTGAAACCTTCCCTTGAAGACATAAAAGGCCTTGATGTTTTGGATGGAAAAGGCGTTTCAGAATATGAAATCGCGGGGTCGGTGAAATCAAGTCGATCTTCTTTCTCCGACAAACCTGACCCAGGACAGAATGGTGGACTGGATCAGGTATTTAAGTCCTTGGATCGTTTAAAATTTAGAGCTGATGGAAATCTGAGCCATACCGATGATGATGATTCGAAAGCAGCTGATGAAGCTAGTGCCGGTTCTGATTACTCTCCTCTTCTACCTCCTTTGCCAAAAACACCATCCGAGTCTTGGCTTTGGCGTGCCCTGCCTTCGAAAAAATCATCTTCGCAGTCTTACAACAGCACTCGTTTTAAACTGAAAAAACAGGAACCAAAGACACCTGCTACTGGTGCCAAATGGGAAACAATTGTCAAAACTTCTTACTTGCATCATGATCATGTTCGCTATTCCGAGGTAATCTTATCCTTCTTTTTAAACAATGAGACTGTCTTCTCTGATGAGAACTTTTATCTTTGTAAAGTTCTAACATTTGTATCCATTACAGGAACTATTAACTCCCTTTTCTCATCAATCCAGAACTTAAAAAGGAAAAACACGGAGGGCATCTTCGAATTCCTCGTGCTCACTGCCTTTGGTTCGGCAGTTTCAGTTTCGACATGGTCAGAGCTTTTTAAAGATTTTGCTGCAGCCTACCATTTTTCTCCTTCCACTTGCCTTCGATATGCGACTGGATTTCTTAACTCTCGTTATTGTACAAGCTTGTAAGTTGCTCATTTCGTTTTCCCTATGCATCAACCATAACTGCAGGCGGCAACCGCTGTTTACATCGAAGTCCGATTGGAATCTTGTAATGAGTACAAATATATTTTTTTCCAACTTTTGTAATTGGTTGTGGTGCTTCTCTTGCACAGGAATCCAACAGATTGTTGTAAAAATATATTGGATATAAAACGCTTCTTTGATATACAAATAAACTTGGACTGAAATTGTTCAAATATAGTAACATCATGCATGTGTCTCTGTTACTGTGATCTGAGGTTTGGGACGAAACATCCCAAGCTCTCGAGCATACAGCTGCCACCATGGTCACACCAAAATGCGCTACCATCGGCACTCACATGCGAACAGTGACACAGGAATGAACTTGACTACCGATCTTCGAGCTAAAATCACTAGTTTTATTGCATGAATGATATGGGCGAAAATATTAACAAGTTGTGAATCACAATTCACACACCTTCCTATTTCCTATGGGCTCTAGGACAAGTACTTAGAAAGATCTCACTTCCAATTCTTCCTGTGGGTTTGGCTTTACTATGTAAGATCCTTAGTTAAGTACTCGAACTCGTTCGGCCTTGTCTGCAACATGCTAAGAAAGCGAAAGCTGCGTATTTATTTCCTGCGTGTCTTTATAATGGATACTCTTTCCGTCATCGAACAATTTGATTCTCCGGCTTAGACTTAACTGCAAATCAGGCAACCATTCTCTGTCCTTGACCAGTTTATTTCGGTTCAACTGTGTTTAGAATAAAACAAATAGAAATAAACATTAGTTTCTATTAATTATATTTGTAATCAAAGTTCAGCAGGAGATTATCACCTCTGTTCTACAGCTGCTGAATTTGCTCATGGAATCATGCTTGTTTCCAAGGTTGTCTTCATATGGCCTTGTGGAGTAGCATCTTTCGTGTTCAATAAATCTGCCTCCAAATGCTCTAATCGGTCCAAATTTTCCATGGTTTTGGTTCGGATGGCAACACAAGTCATTTGCTTGTGATAATTGCTGAACTTCACTTTGTCCAGCCTCATCAAGCTTCTTACATCTATACATCTGAAGCAAGAACATCAGTAAAACAAAGTAAAATAATGGATTAAAAAACTTGAAAATTACTGCAAGGAGAGGTAAGTATTGAAGATCAAAATGGGTTCTTTTTGTTTCCTTTGAACCTGTAAATGACTTTTTACATGTGCAATGCTAAGTCCCCTCACATTCATCAATTGAAGAACCAACTTTGGAGTCGCTCCTGCAACAACTTATCAAACACAGTTACTAAAAGTAAAGGAAACGGTCGAATGAATCGAAACGACTTCCACCGAAACTAAATCTCGGTCAGTGCGATAGTCAACGAACTTACTCTCTTGACCACCAAGCCTTTCGACGGCTCGCACGAAAGAGAGATGCAGATCATGAGTCCACCGAAGCCTAGGCAATTTCGACTTAACGTATTTCCTCACTCTTCTTCTATCATTCCCCTCGTTGTTATCGTTGCTTGAAGTGCTCCCTTCATTTCTGTTCTCAATCTCATCACCTTCTTCAATACTTAATATTTCATCATTACAACAATCCTCATTCAAGTCGAAGGAGGAACACTTATGTCCGAACAACATGGCACACATATCTTGCCTCCTGCTGATGCAAATCTTGCCTGTCAAATCTGTTTATTTAATGCAACAATAGCGTAAAAATAAAACTTGGGAGTTGGGACCCTTGAATTATATATATATGAAATGAATCAACAAATGAAACCCCCATCACTTGTAGGGTTTTAAATATTTTAGATGAAGCTGTGATATCGTAAATGCATCAATTAGTGTGTGAGGATTGTTTAGATGGTAGGTTTAACTGCACAAACTTATTGCACTGGTTATTTTCTTGAATTCAACACACACGTATGTATAATGTATGATTTATTAGGGGATAAATCATCATCATTGCTAAAAATTCAGTTTCTGCAAAAGTGATACCAAGTAAATAAAAAGAATCCGAACTGCAGATTAAACAAAGTTTTATTTCAGAAAAGATTTTCTTGTGAAGAACTGGGAAGCAGCTCTTTCATTATAAATTCTCCTATAGATAAATTATCTATAACCCTAGTGTTAAAACTTTTAAGGGAAAAAAGATCATTCCTCAGACACAGAAAAGAAGAACAGTTGAGTAGCCTAAAAGTAAAAGGTTTTTTCAGTAAAAGATAGAAAAATAAAAGCTAAAACAAAACTAAGAAATTGATCCCTCAACCCAAAGATGCCACATGTCTTTTCTTTTCTTTTCAATCTTCCTCAAAGATATAAATTACCATCAAGACGAAGATCCTTGAGCCTATATTCCCTTCTTGTGTTGATGATAATCTGAAAACCCTTTCTTCTCGTACTTGATATATATATATATATATAATAAAAGATCTTCATGGATGTTTGTGGTTTTAAACCGAAGCAAACAAAGAGAAGAAATCAACCATGTTTTGACAAAATCCACTTGTTCTCTTTATAGATTCACATTATGGATACAGTTGCAACTGTTGCATACATCATGTGACCTTATTCTTACTCCGAATAAATTCATTTTTTAATCTGATCATTTGTCCTCAAAATTAATAAATATTAATGAACTTTTTAATTAAAATGATGGTTACAAGCTACGTCAGAATAACAGTAAACAAGCATAAATTTACGTAAAAACATAAAAAAAATACGAACAAAAAACGACAAATTCATTATAAGGTCGAAATTACGTGAGAATTAGGGCTACAAGAATTTTCTCAAACTTTTTATGCTTAATCAATAATCATAATCCTTACACTCATCCATTTATATAAGGTTAATAATTACTTGATAAAAAAATCTTATATAATAAAGGGTCGTTTTTAATATAAATTCTTACTTTTAATAAAAAATTAATGTGAAAAATATAATCATATACGAATTAGATGTCCGACAATGCTTGCATCATGAAGCCTCCGCATCCACCAGAAATCTCAATTTTTTCCCTTGTATTTCTCTTTACTAGGTGAGTCCCGTTGTAAACTCTTCTTGATAGAATGTAGAAGTATAATCATACAAATTAATTATTATAAAATGCAAATCAAATATAATCTAAACTAGAACAATTCTTGATAGAATATATATATATAAACAAAGTCTACATAGTGAAAGATCAAACTGATAGGTGATTTATTTAGTTAATATTTTAAGTCTAAATTTTCCCTTGGTTGTAGGTTTTTGTGGTTGATCTGTTTGTTTTGATTCATTTTCTGCATAGGATATTGGATTCTGGAAAATGCACTTAAAGGGCATAATTTTGTAGTTTTTTTTTATTTTCGAAATTAAAGTTGGATTAGTGGGCATAACGCATCTGACGTGGCATGATGTCAGCACCTTCCAAAAGGTCCAATTAACGCTTCTAGAAGTTCGAATTGAAGATTATCCCAAATTTTTAGGATTTTAGTTTAATTAATTCAAAATTTATCTTTAAGATTATTTTTATTATTATTCCATGTTTATTTTTAAGAGTTTTAGTTTAAGTAGTTTAGGATTTATCTTTAGGATTTATCTCTTTATTTTAGGAATTATCTTTTCATTTTGAATGCTATAAATACTCTCTCAGGGTAAGCCTAAAAACACTCTCTACGGCTCAGATTTCATTCTTCTTCTGGCTTCTAGTTTTATAAAGTTCTTCTTTATTTTCAAGGTTTTCATTTTTTTTAAGTTTTTGTTTTTAAATATGTAAAGTATGATTTTAGTCATGCTTAGCTAATTCTCTTTTAAGCCGAAGGTTAAAGCGATGACTCAATTCCAAACATGAGAATTATAAGACACTTAAATCGTTTCAGATATCTCTCTCAGTTTTCTGGGCTTATTTTTAAATCAAACAATTTTCAAAACCAAAAATTCGATGTTGTTCTGGATGTTGTTATGGTTAATGTGGGAGAAATGATCGGCTTATTAAAGCACATTCGACTTCCTGTAAACACACTTAGCAAAATTGTTTGCAAAGAAAAAACTGAGATCAGAACCAGTCATTGTTGAAATAACATAATCCGAGTCGGCAGCTTTTGAACCTCAACATTTTTAAGATCTATAACATTTTGTTGCTTAGATCAATCCACAAATCGATATTAAAGATTGAACTTGGGTATTCGGTACACAAAGCATAGTCACGAGGATATGTCCTTGTAGACAAGTGATCGGCGTGAATCATGAAGTATAAATCTATTTCGATGATGCGTTGAAAGTCTGCTACTTTTTACAATAATTCTTCTTTTCAAACTCCAATTATTATTTTATTCTATTTATCACTTTCTGCTTTGTCTTTATTTTATCTTCAAATAGTTTCAATTAAATCAAAACCCCCTATTATCTATTTCTTATCTCATCTTTTATTTTTATATTTTTATTTTAAATTTTATCATTATCCAATCTATTCAGAAACAAAAAGATAACTAAATCAGAAACTACAAAGTCTATGCAGGATCAACCCTTACTTTCCACTTGTTATATTTTTTATATTTCTTTTTGGATTAAGGAATTATTTTGGCACGAAAATTACGTGTCACAAATCTAAACATGAGTTTTGTAAGAAAAATATATGGACCATTTCTTCTTAGTCTTATTATTATTAAATGGGGCCATTTCTTGAATAATCAATCAATTTCTTCCCACCTAAACAAAGACTTTATTTGCTCCAAGTTTTATATTTTTTATTATTTAATCAGTACATCACTCTTGTCTTGTCCCCATGCTCATATTGTTTTTAAAGTCCACAATCTTTAATTATAGGTGCCAACATATACGTTGCTGTGAGTTTGATGTTATTTGGTTTTTCAAATAGGGAAAAAAGGTCGTCCTTATAAATTTTGGTCAATTTTGGTGGGTCTCCTATTTTCAAACTAGTTGTCCTCCATAGTTTTCATTGCATTTTCTTATTCAATTTTTAAGTTATCATTACTTCATACTCATTTAGTGATATCATTGATAAAATAAAATGTTATTCTCCCAGTTACATAGGTAAGGTGTATGCACATTACTAATAACTAAGAAAGATTATTAACATATTATATTCATTCTAAACTAATAAAAAAAACCTTACTTCAAAGTGAAAATTATTTATAAAATTGATTTAAACTTGCCAAACCAGCAGAAAACTCATTTAAAATTATTAAAAAATTTAAAATTTACACACTAATTAATTACTTACCAAACTAAGTGATTGTTGTATTTATACTTTTTTTTCGTTTAAATATCTCTTGTGGAATAGATTATCAACATCTATATGCTAAAAAAGAAAATTAGTGAAATATTATTAGTAAGCAAAAAGACAAACAAATTTCAATGGGAGAGGACAATAATGGTAAATATAATAATCGGATTTGTTTATTATTTTTTGCTAACATCAAAAGGGTTTACTTTCTAATGATGAGAAAATAGAAATTTGAATTGATTTGTCTTCTCTTATTCCATACATAAATCTACACATATTATGGGGAAAAAAATAACTTAAAAGGTTATGCCTAAATGACATCCATAAACAGCTTGTTATGAGTGACATAATACAAAAAAAAAAATGGTTGTCCCTTGTTCCCATATGTAATGGGGTAATACAAAAAAAATGGTTGTCCCTTGTTCCCATATGTAATGGGGTAAGGGGGAGGTAAGATAGTAGGCTGCCCCCAACACTAGGTTGAGAGCAGCTTCCATAGGAGACCTCTAAATTATGAAATGCCCTCCATGGGACTCGATCCCACGACCTCAAGATTAAGAAACCTTGTGCTCTACTAACTGAGCTGGATAGTCATTTACTTATGAGTGACATAATACGTTCATCATTATTTTCTAAAAATAGATATAACATATATTTTTATATTAAGCTAAGATGATTATAAAGTAGTATATGAATCATATTTTAAAAATAATATTATTAAGAGAATTAATTATGAATTCTGAATATAACTAATAAAATGAACATTATGAAACAATTTGGAAGAAAACTTGTTTTTGCATATGATATCTAATTGTAGTTTCCTAAAGGTAATTTCAAATAGCCAAATCCATTATATACAACTAATCACATGGGGAACATTAATCGAAGAAGAAGGTCCATATCTCCTAAGAAAATGTAATGCTACCATAAAAATATCTAAAACCTACTTTTAACTGAGTAAAAAAACTGTAATTGTTCTAGTTTCATGCAAATTTTTAACAGGTAAGAGAAGCAGGCAAGGTACATGGAGAAACACAATAAGGATAGGATTCTTAAACATGTCAACTTAGTGAGTCATCTTTGTTTTTCCTATTTAAAAAAAAGAAAAAAAAAAGAGATCATTGTACATGCATCTCTGATATAATCAAACCTTCTGCTTATCCCTTCTCTGTCCCCATTTCCTCACCTGAATCTGCAATATGCAAGTCCCGGCAAAAAAATCCAGAGACACTGACGGATTCAACACATCAAGAACACCTTTCAGGGTCTTCAGCATGCCAATGAATACGCATATTTCATTTTGAAGGAAGGTTCAGCCTTCGACTAGGTTTAGGAGCGATGCATGCATGCGTCTCACCAGCTGGTGCTGATGTTGACGTGTCGATGTGGGAGACAATGTTGGTTTTAACCATGTTCGCATGGGGTCGGGCACGTGGGGTAAGTGTGAGTTGTTCATGAGACGAGGGTGAGATTTTCCACGTGTCTTTGCGTATTTGAGTAAATATAAGCCAAACCCACCTCATGAACTACAAATGTTCATCGTCTCTTCACCTTAATGTCCACGATGTTTAATTTTGAGAACTTGGTTCCATCTTCATTGTTAATGGAATTCAAATTAGTTATAATCATCTTCCTGTCTCCTCCAATATTAGAAATGATAACATATGTTATAGAGATTTTCAACTTTTTATTATATGAACTTATTTTCTAAATTTAATTTAAGACTACGAAAATATCTAAACCGATCCTAGGTTAACGTTGAGGATGACTTATAGTCATTGGGAAGCATTAAAAACATGCAATAAAGGCCACCTACACATGTAGTTTGCGAAACTTTGTGAAAGTATCGAAACGCTTACTTAAAAATATGACATTTGAAAAAAAAAATCGGATCGTTAAAACAGTTTTTGAGTGCAAAATTTCAAAACTTTTGTAAAGTTTCAAAACTCTTAATAAAAGTTTTCAATCTCTTACAAAGTTTCCAAACTATGAACAATATTCGTGTATGAAATGTGTCATGAACATTGCCAAATAGTAATTGAATAATGTTTTTCATATTTTAAAAAGCTTTAAACATATTTTAAAGGATATTTTGGACTTTGAATTATTTTTGAAATATATGATTAAGTCCAAAATCAATTTTAAAAATATTTGTTATATCAAAATATAAGTTCAATAATATCCCCTTTTGATATAACAATAGTTCTTTGATTTTTTTTACAAAAGCTACCCTTTAGAAAATATATATTTTGATAAAAAAGAATTTAATAAAAATATTTAAGCTCTCCCTTTTTCTTTGAGAAATTTAATTTTCACTTACTTCTCCCCTTTTCATTATATCAAAAATAATTCTGCAATGATAATTCAACAATGGAGAATAAGTAAAAAATAAAAGGTTCAAGCATATAAATTATTTAAAAACAAAGCTCCCCCTTAAATAAAAGCATTCCATGAAAAGTTTGGCACAAAAAAAACACTTATGCACTTAAGAAGAATATTGAATTTCAATAAGATCATAAAACATGTTAGTAACACATGAAATTCAATAAATTCAAGACTTGTTATACTTTATACAATAATTAAAAATGACATATTGAATCTTATATGCATAAAGCACTACATAATGTCATGCATTTAATATGTATAACAGTTGTTATTGAAAGCATATGCATGAACATTTAACAATTTGCATTTGCATATTAAAGATGTAAAAACATATATATGCAAATATACAAAAAGTAAAAGAATGAATTTCATCAAAATATCAAGATTCAAACATTTAAAATCAACCGATGAGTATTCAAGCTAATTACTATATAATCATGCAATAGAAAAATATATTTCATAAATCATATTTTGTATGATTTAGATTTGCATTCATGCAAATCTATTAAAATCGTCTTCTATGACTCCCCTTACTTAGACATCACAATAAAACTTTAAAGATAAAACTCATGGAATATTAATTATGTAAACAAAAATTGATATCAATTGATATTTGAAAAAAATATAATATCAATTTTAGATATGGAGGATGTCAAAGAAGGCATATGCAAGTTAAGAAAAATATTTAAAATTTTCTTACATATGCATCATTTAAATGATAACAATTGAAAGAGATTTTAAAATTATTATCATATTTGATATCATAAATTTAAAGTGAATCCAATTTTAAAAAAAATATTCAATAAATCATGGATATCACATGTTGAAAGAAAAATAATTTTCAACAAAAGCTCGGTCAAGATAATTTAAAGAAATCATGAAAGTATTACTTGACCCAAAAAAAATATTATGATGAACTAAATAATTATAAAAGCTTTTAATTTTGAAACATGTCCATCATAACACATTTTCAACATACATGAGATAACAAACAACATGTAATCATTCATGCTCAATACTCATGCATGCATAAAAATCAATAGGCAACCAACATACAAAATTAATAAACTTTAAGTTTAGAGGTTACCCATCATTCCTTTGTGTGATTAGAGCATCCAAAATCTTTACCTTTATCACCATGACTCCAACACATCTACAATAGACATTTACTTTGTTTTTTGTACCCAAATTGCTTTGGGTCATTGAATATTAATTTCAATGCCTCTAATTCCCTTAGGAACCCATACTTATCTAATTTTGAAATGTTTTCTATTTTTAATAGGACAAGTATGTATAATATTATCATGATAACGGCAATGTGAGCATTTTTCTATTATTAGGCTAGATGAATTATTTGAAATGATTTCTTTTTCTTTTGCTAAGCTTTCAAACTTAACTTTTAAATCAAAATTTTCTTTTTCAAAATTTTCAATTTTACTTTTCAAAGATCCAAATCATTTTTAAAAATTTTATTTTTTCAAAATGCAATTTTGCTTTCAAACTAAAATCATTTTCAACTTTAAATTTTAAAATCAATTTCTTGTATTTGAAGTTCATAGTCTCAAATTCCAAAAATAATTCATTGTATGCATCTTGTAACTCATTAAAAGAATATAAATTTAATTCATTTGAGTTTGAATATACCTCTTGCTCTTCAAGAGCCATAAAGTGCACCACCTTTGGATTGGGAGATTTTATCCCAAAGCTCTTTAGCATTATAACATAAAGAAACTTCTTCATATATATTGAGACCAAATGCAAAAAATAAAATGTGAATTTAAAATTGAATTGATGAAAAGTCCCCAAAATACCATTAATAAAACTTGATATTTACCAATTGCCATTATAATATCTTCCATTAAAATATTCATAGGTCAAAGATGAATCAACTTTACCGCTTTATAGTTTTTAACATAAATCTCGTACCGAAAAATCCGATTCTCACTAAAATCTCTGTTTTAATCCAAACCATTCATTTACAAGCTAAAATATATAACTTTTCAAAATTACATTTCTAGTCCTTAAACTTTTCAAACTTTATACTTTAGCTACTAAACTTTCAAAAATTTCATTTTAGTCACTAGTCAATCTTTGGGGTATTACATGGTTAACACTTGTGACTTCATCGTACCAAATCTATTAAAGATTTGAAATTTTTATTTCATCATTTTATTGAATAAGATTAAATAAAGTTAAGAATTAATCAAACGGTCTTAATGACTAAAAAGGTATTATTTTTCTTTCGAAGTATTAGATTCAAATAGTTATGTCTACAGGGTGTGTACATTGTCAATAGTTAAAAAATATTATGAATAAATATTATCATTGTAATCACCAAAACTATAGAAAAAAAACCAAATAAAGTTTAAATTTTAAATTCTAGTATTATATATAAAAAATAAATTAAACTAATAATGTTTTTATCATATTTAATATAAACTAATTAACTAATAAATTATATACTTACAATCATATATATATATATATATATATTCACAAACGTTAGATATTTGAAAAGGACATATTTGCATCTTTACAAATATAAAAACGTTGAGATTACTCACCATTTTAAAAAGTAGGTAAGGTGCATATGAAGATACATATTTAATTACTCAACAATGTCTAATCTATCTATTAATTTAAATTAAATATTATAAAGATTTATTAGAGGATGAATTCATCGAAATTTATTTTATTCATGACATTAAAGTTTTATTTTAAAAATTTAACTTACCATCGTTTAAATATCATTGTTGACGCTGAACAGGTTGAATTGTTTCTATGGTGTTGTGAAAAAAATTATTGGTTGAAATAGGATTTCATCGAAATTATTTTTTAGTCTAGTGTGAATGCTACAGTACTCGTCGAAAGTCGTCGGGAACACAATGTGACCCCCCAATTTATTCAAAGTCTACATTTGCAACTCCCTCTACATTTCAATTTCAGTGTGTCTCTCCCCCAATTCATTCAAAGTCGCATGATGGTCCTCGCGTCACACGTCAAAGTCGCAATGTGTTCCCGACGACTCTTCGGTTACTGTAGCATTCACACCATCTCGAGAAATAATTTCGACGATACCCTAATTCAACCAATATTTTTTTCAAAAACCCTACAGTAGCAAATCAACCCGCTGAGCATAAAACTTATAGGCAGTGACGAAGTTAGAAAATTGTTGTTGGACCAGTATAACGGTGTAAGATTTTGAACCACAACTAAAGAATTTCACTTTAAAAGACTTAAATTGAACAATTTATAATTGGAAGGGATTGAAACTATAATTGTACCATTAACCAATGGACCAAAATAAATTGTAAATTTCAATTAGATTTGTTCGATTAATTGGATTTAACCGATCATTTTCTCACCACTACACTTGGCTATTATGTCTAAAAAATCCATTAAACATATTGTGATTTCAAGATATATAATTTTATTTTGAAGCCGTGGAAAAGAGGACTATAAATGGGGATGGGTTTAATGGGCTTGGTCTTGATTTGGAAGACTTAAAATATTTGTTTGGGCTTGAGTCTTAAACCCACTTTCAGATCCAGCGCGTCGTCCCAACTTCACCTTCCAAGTACCGGCCTTTCCCCCTTCCTCAGACCACACCATAGTTGTCTCCGCCCCTAAAGTTTTCGAAAAACCAAGCCCTAATTTTTCGAACCCAAATCCCCAATTCAATCGAATTTTCAGTTCACTTCAAGATTTCCCCAAATCAGGAACGCTAGACTCCATGGCGTCGAGGAAAAAAGAATCCGAAGGGATTGCCTTGCTATCCATGTATAACGACGAAGACGACGAAGAGATGGGGGACATTGAAGAAGGTGACAACCAACGAAGCCGACAAGCTGGAGAACAAGAACAAGAAGAGGGGGAAGAAGAAGAGCAGCAACCGTTTGAGGAAGAAAACGAGCACAGAGAATCTAACAACATGGAAGAAGATTCGAGAACTAACGATAACACGCCGCCGTTTCTTCACCAAAGTTCATCTCTTTCGCAAAAACAGCAGAACCCTTCCGTTTCTTCGCCACGACAACATCGACCTGTGGTTTCTTCGAATAGAAGTAGAGGAGGAAGGCTTGCTATTGTTGATTATGGCCACGATGAAGCTGTCATGTCACCGGAGCCGGAGGTAACCCCACTCCGCCTCGCCAAAGTTATTTCAAAAAAAATAAAATAGAAAAGGTTCCTTTTATTGTTTAATGATATGTGATTAGGTTTTTTGTTTTCTTGTCCAAGTGCAGGAAGGGGAATTAAGAAGCAATGATGACCTTATGATTGGCATAGAGCAACCAAATGCCAATGGTACTTTATTATTATTATTATTATTTTCTTTTGATCAATTTAAGTTGCTTACTAATTTGTCATTTGTTTTGCAGGTGATTTTCAAAGAATAACGCCTTTGACTCCACAATCATCAGATTTAGAACCATTAGTGCCTGAGGCCTTGACCAATGCTGTTACCGAATCAGAAGGTGTAGAAGTTGAAGAAACTGTTTCTGTAGACAATGTTTATCCTTTGGATAAGTTTCTTCCACCTCCACCAAAAGCCAAGTGCTCAGAGGAGTTACAAGTAAGTTTCTTCTGTATGCTATTAGTATAGAGTCATTAATTATAAATTTATAATTGTTTGGATCTAACAGAAACAACCTGAAGTTATCCGAATGTAGACCACCCGCATGTCATACTGCTGATATGTTGTGCTAGAACTTGTGTTTTTATGAGAGAGAGACGAATTAAGGTAGGTGTATTTAAGGTGACCTGCTGATCCGTGGTGCTTACTAAGTTGTAGATGTCGATTCTGATATCTACAGGGCTGATTTATATTTGTGTAATTTTAGCTTAGCTGATTTTGAGTTTCATATGGGATTTTAGTTAATTGCAATATCGGGTCATTCGTACCCTCTGCTGCTGAAAGAAAGATGGGTAGCTCATGGTACCAAATTCTTATAAATGTTGTGGTTGTTTGCTCCTTTTTATATCAATGGACATATCCATTGTTGATAATTAAAAATAATACTCGCTTTATCTCTTTTTCCTTTTGTTTTATGTTTTCATGACCTTCATTTCTTTCTGCTTGCTGCTACAGAGGAAAATAGATAAATTTCTCAACTTGAAGCTAGTTGGGAAAAGCTTCAATGCAGAAGTTCGTAATAGGAAGGATTATAGGAACCCGGACTTTTTGCTGCATGCTGTGAGGTATCAAGACATTGATCAGATAGGGTCTTGCTTCAGTAAAGATGTATTTGATCCACATGGATATGACAAAAGCGAGTATTATGATGAAATAGGTTGTAACATTAGCTTCTATGATTCTCCCCTTTATATATTGAAAGCACTTACGATATTTGTTGACCCTGGATACATCAATGCATTACCTGTTGACGGTTGCTTTCTCAAGTTTATGCTTTAATACATTACCCTTGTTTGTTTAAATGCAGAGGCTGATATGAAACGTGAAAGAGAGAGTAAGGAACAAGAAAGCAAGAAGAATCAAAATGTTGATTTTGTATCTGGTGGAAGTCAACCTGGATCAGTTCTTACTGCCCCAAAAGTTAACTTACCTACTGCAGGTGTTTTGTTTTTCGGAATAAATCTTCTTATACGAGTGTTTATCATGAGATTGTGCAATGGTGTTCTTATATTGAATGATATCGATTTTTTTAGTTGTGGGTGCTGGTGGATTGCCTTCAGCTCCAACTGCAGTGGACAACATTGTTCGTGATGGTAGACAAAACAAGAAATCAAAATGGGATAAGGTTCTCACTTGTCAGTGCATCTCTGTTCCAAATAAGTCATCTATGATATCATGGACCTAACTTTCTCATTGTTTTATTTAACTTCCAGGTGGATAGTAATAGAAGAAATCCTCTACCTGCTGGGGGGCAGCATTCTCTATCTGCTGCTGGAGCACATACTGTTATTTTATCAGCTGCTAATGCTGGAAGTGGGTACACAGCTTTTGCGTAAGTCCTATAACTTGATGGAAAATTGTTCACGTCTTCCCTCCTTTTTCATGGCTGCATGATTGACTTATTTCAATAAACAACTTACAGCCGGTGCTTTCTGCTTAGTTTTCAGCACTGATTTCATCTTGTTGTAAAATGGCAGACAACAGAAACGGCGAGAAACAGAAGAGAAGAAATCCAGTGAAAAGAGGTTGGATAGAAGATCTTGAGGTCATTTCTTTTAGTTTTGGTACAAATGTTCCCAAAAACTGTTTTGAGGCTGAGAACCAGTAATGCTTATGGTAAATTTATACACTTAAATTGTACCTTGTAGATCACTTATTACCTAAATTTAGCCACATAATGATGTACTGATACAAGAATACTTGAAAGCCTTCTTAGTTTTGTGCCAAATACATGGCCCACCCAATGTTTTTCTTTTGTTAACATACGTATGTCCCCACTTATCTATTTAATGGTTTAAACAGACTAATCCTATCGAGCTGTGTCGAATCACAAAGGTGGTAAAACTCTCCCGTCAAGTATTTAACACTGTTGTATATTTTCCAATAGCTCGAATTCGGGACTTTGCTTAAGCTAGAACAATTCCATACTAGTTTATTTAAGTCTACAGTATCTAGTACTATGCATGAAATTGGCTGCCAATAAAGGGCTCAAAAGATCTATGGGGTGCTTGTCTTGTGCCTATGGCATCAAATTAGAGACGTTGGAGAATCGTACAGTGTTCCCTGCATACATCTCTGTCTTGAATTCAGATCCTTCTATGTTTGAAACACCCAAGGACAACAATCCAATTGAAAAAAGTATTTTTTTTTCCTTTAAAAGAATTACTATTATTACTCAATTATACACTAGTGTGAGAAAAGAACCTCGAAGGTACAACAAAGTAGTGCAACCTAATACTGTCACTACCTCAATTTAAAAAAAAAGGAAATACTCTCACCACCGGATGAAGAATACATTTCTCCGATTAATGGACCACCACCAATTATTTGTGATGATAGTTGATACTGACCAACCGTAATGCCATTGCCACCACCGATTAATGGAGTCAATATTTGAGATCGACCAATCATAGTAAAATAAAGACGTAACAAAGCAGAAAGACATTCTTCATTTATTGATACACAAAACCAAATACAATTTCAGTTTTATATATGCACTGATTTTGGTTGGGTGAATAATAAATACAGTGAAAGTATTGTATCGAAGAAGAGTTACAAAAATTTAATAATGAGACCAACGGTCACATTTGGGCTTTGGGTGTTTTTGGCATGTTGCTTAAGGGGTAATTTCGGAATACAAGAAAAAGTTAACGGAAACTTTTTCTATATATAAATCAAAAGCTGTGAGAAAAAGGGGTTAAAACAAAACTCAAACTCTCTGCAGTAAGTAAAGTAGAGAGGGTGGAAAAGCCATTGGTGGCCAGCAAAGTTCCTATTTCCCAAGTCTTTCTTTGTTGACATTCAATCTGAAGTTTTGATCTTGAGTGGATTTACTGCTGTTTGAACTCTGGTTTGAGCTTAAAGATTGATTCTTTGATTCAGTTTGTGAATGCCCATTTGAACATTTAATCTAAAGTTCTGGTTTTGAGTGGATTTTCAGCTGTTTTTAGTCTGGTTTGAGCTTGAAAAATGGTTTTCTGATAATTTTGTGAGCGCCCAACTAGAGTTTCAGAGGCAAAAAAAAAAAAGGCCAAAAAATACAAAATTTTAAGTTATGGCAGAACCAAAACCTGAAGAAATAAGCCACCCACCAATGGACCAACTTCAAGGCCTGGAGTTCTGCATTGACTCAAATCCTTATTGGGGTGAGCATTTTTCTTTTTCTAAATTTTTCAGCAGTTGTTTTCGTTTGTTCTGTTTTTGTAACCCTCTCTTGCTTTTGGAAGCAGGAGAAGCTATAGCTTTGGGGTTTCAGCATTATATTTTGGCCTTAGGAACTGCTGTGATGATCCCTTCTTTTCTTGTCCCTTTGATGGGAGGAACTGATGTAAGTCACTTTGCACATGTAATGAATTACAATATTCTTCTTTATTCTTATATTATTTGTTACTGATTTTTTATCATTTCCGCAATATACTGGTTTAGGGTGATAAAGTAAGAGTGGTTCAGACATTGCTATTTGTTGAAGGGATTAATACACTTTTACAAACACTGTTTGGAACTCGACTACCTACCGTTGTAGGCGGTTCTTACACCTTCATGATTCCCATCATATCTATAATTCATGATACTTCTTTGTTGAGTATCGAGGATAACCATATGGTTAGTACAATCTTCTATGACCATTTCCCCCAAATCTTTTACTTTGTTGCTTTTCTCATAAAGTTCAATCTTTTATGTGTATGCAGAGATTTCTATATACTATGAGAGCTGTCCAAGGTGCACTAATTGTAGCATCAAGCATACAAATTATCTTGGGATACAGTCAAATGTGGGCTATTTGCACCAGGTGCAACTTTGATCTTAAATGTACTTTCTGTATCAAAATTATGGAGAGACATAATTTGAGAAACTATTATCTGAATGGTGTTTTCGTGTTTTCCTTTTTATAGGTTCTTTAGCCCCCTTGGAATGGTTCCAGTTATCGCACTAGTTGGCTTTGGCTTGTTTGACAGAGGCTTTCCTGTGGTACAATATAGAAACCCTGAGGCTTTTTTGAACCCTTGAATGAGATTTTTTTCCCTATAATATCACTTGTGTTGTTTTAACTTGTTATCGACTCACTATCAGGTTGGTCGCTGTATCGAAATCGGCCTCCCGATGCTTATTCTATTTATAGCCTTCTCCCAGGTACTACTATTCCTTCTAGCAATGTAATGGACTAATATTGTTTGCATTAAATGTTGCTACATCAAGTTCTTGCATACTGTATCGAATATTAAGATGAAGTGTAATATGTTGTGTTTATCTTCTGTCAAAAACAGTACTTGAAGAATTTTCTGATAAAACAAGTGCCGATACTGGAGCGGTTTGCTCTCGTTATATCAATCACGGTAATTTGGGCATATGCACATCTCTTGACTGCAAGTGGTGCATATAAACATCGTCCGGAGTTAACCCAATTAAATTGCAGAACCGACAAGGCCAACCTCATTTCTTCTGCTCCATGGTCTGTCGATATTTATGTTTGCTATCGTCGAATCCATGGAATACTTCTTAATATTGCCTTTCTGACTGAAATTTATTCATTCAGGATAAAGATTCCTTATCCTCTTCAATGGGGTGCTCCTACTTTTGATGCTGGTCATTCTTTTGGAATGATGGCTGCTGTTTTAGTCTCGTTGATCGAGGTACTTACTAAAATTCATAAATCAAATAGACGTATTTTATTTAGTGATTCAAAGCTAATGAATGTTTCCTTTGGCAGTCAACGGGAGCTTACAAGGCTGCCGCACGTCTAGCCAGTGCCACGCCTCCTCCGGCTCATATTCTTAGCCGAGGTATCGGTTGGCAAGGCATTGGGATCCTTCTGGACGGGTTATTTGGAACACTGACCGGTTCAACCGTCTCTGTGTAAGTATCATTGCTTTCTTGCTCGGAAAATTAACGATCTATGCCACTATATATACTAATTCTTGGTAAAACAACAGAGAAAACGTGGGGCTTCTCGGAAGCACTCGTGTTGGAAGCCGCAGGGTCATTCAAATCTCAGCTGGCTTTATGATATGCTTTTCGATGTTAGGTGAGTGTTGAAGTCTTTTAGTATCAATGTCTCATTGTTTCCTCTACTGACTTTTAAAGTCGATTTCTTTCTTTCTGCAGGAAAATTCGGAGCTTTGTTTGCATCGATACCTTTCACCATTTTTGCTGCTGTGTATTGTGTTTTGTTCGGTTACGTTGGTGGGTATTGATTGATACCTTTAACAATAACGTTCTCTTATAACCCCATAGGAATATTATTTGCTATGTTGCTTTGCTTCTGACTATGGGCTCTACTAATTAATTGCTTTCAGCTTCCGTGGGGCTGTCTTTCTTGCAATTTACGAACATGAACTCCACGAGAAACCTCTTTATCGTCGGCGTGGCATTGTTCTTAGGTTTATCAGTTCCCGAATACTTTCGAGAATACACTGCCAAGGCTCTACATGGTCCTGCTAGTACCCGAGCTGAATGGGTGAGTTTTAAATGTGTCCCCATAGCACTTTTATCATTCAACTATTCTGCTAATCAACATATCATTGACTTGTATTGTACTATGTTTGGCATACGCAGTTCAATGATTTCCTTAATACCATCTTCTTTTCATCTCCGACTGTTGCATTGATTGTCGCCGTACTCTTAGATAACACACTTGACTATAAAGACAGTGCCAGAGATAGAGGAATGCCATGGTGGGTTAATTTCCGATCATTCAAAGGCGATGCTCGGAGTGAAGAGTTTTATACACTCCCTTTCAATCTAAATCGTTTCTTCCCCCCATCATAGATCATCATCGACAACAACGAGATGTGTCAGCCATATGTATATTTGATTTGGGTTTAATCCGATATTGATTCGGTTATTAAATTAAATGAAATTTTTTTTATGTAATGTTGGGTTGATGCTAGCTCCAACAGTGTTTGCAAAAGTGACTTTGCAAAGAACTCTGTCAATCGTATGTAGCAATGCACTTTTTGACTTGGGAGGAATTCAGTATCTAATATTAATCATAATTCTTCTCTTGTTTGTATATATGCAATTTTATTAACAAATCTTATGATCTACACATGCATTCCGAGCCCCTCACTCGCACTCTTTGGCCTTCATCGATCATCTTCCGTATCATATCTTCAAATGTATTCCATCCTATGGAGCTATTCTCTGAAAAAATTGCTGCTAATCTCTTCTTGTTAGGTCGCAAGGTTGGAGCATGTCCATCACAGCAGTAAGTTAGGAATCCGGATACCAGCGATGATAGTTGGCTTCCGGAGTCTGTCATGGCAAAGACATCTGAAGTTGCACAACCAATGAAACCTAATGCTGCCAGCTGCATCCGAAGCATTTCTAAGTATATAAAAATGTACCCAAAAAAAGTTCTTAAAAAGATTGTCTGAATCCGAAAATACCTGAGAAGAGAAATTTTGAAAAGAAGCAAGCTCAATGGGGGTGAGCACTGTTTACTTAGTGACCAAATTGGGGTACAAACTGGTAAAAGGAACGCATCCGGGAACTTCCGCTGTATATACGAGACCCTGCGAGATAAATGTAAGTTCCGCGCTTGAAACCGAGAGCAGCAAGAACTAGTGCGGCTTCTTCGGGTGTCAATGGACATCTTCCCAACTTCCGCAACTCCGCAGGAGAAACAGGCCTACAAGCATCAATGGTGGAAGGAATGGATCGATCAGGCATGTGCATGGAAACAACATCAGGCAAAACAATAATGACAGATGGCTGTTAGGACAATACTTTAAGTTCTTCAAGCGCT